CTCAAAGTGTCCTGTAGTGATCATACAGGAGGGCAGGCCTGCTCAGGGGGCTGTTTGTCATTAAGCAAATCAGCCCTGTCTTCGCCGTATCCTAGTGTTTGTGCACAGAAAGAGCTCACTTCCAGGGAGCATCTTCCTCACTCCACATGTCTCCTAAGCCTCTGCCTGGGGTGCCTTCTGACTAGTCCCACGGGGTTCATCAGTGCCTTTGGGAGGATACTTCAAAGCTCAATTAGTCACCTTTCTTTGGAGGGCCTACTGATGAAGATAATCACTGCTGTTGCCTCTGATGAAGGTGGCTACGAGCTTACGATGTTCAGTATGACTCAAATGTCCCACTCCCCCACTCCACTGATGCCTATCCAGGATGCCCAGCCTCTTCCCAAAGCCTCTAGGACCTACAGAGTAAGGAGCCTTTTGGCACCTGAGGTCTCTGTATCTTCACTCAAGAATTTCTGGTATCTGTCATGACCTCTGCAGCACTTAGGAGGATGCAGGCTTCATCCTTGGGCCCCCTGGCTCCCTCCTAGCTTACCCTGGGGTTGAGTTCATGCTCATACCCAGGCTTGGGTAAAGCTTCAGTGAGCCAATGAAGTAACAAGTGAATGAATGAAGCAGATTCCCAAAGTGGCTGGAACCCTCTGGCAGTCCTGGGTGCACTGATCTCTCCTGGGAGGTGCACACCCAATAGGGGCTGCCAGAGGGGCTCTTCTGCTGGTGACAATAGGACCGGCCTGTTGGCTCAGAAGTGCTGAGAAGTATAGTCTCTCTATCTGTCACATTCCAGGGGGCAGGAACATGGAAGATAGAGCCTGGTGAACATTTATTACACAGACACACATGCATTTTATACATGCACATGCACTCTTCGTGGGAACCACTACTTTTCTGTGTTCTGCCTGTGACTCATTTCTGTCACTTGTCTAGGATTTTCTCATTTTCCTTGTAGCTTCAGAACATTATTCTCTATGCCCAGGTCTTTGCCTCTTCATCCACGACCAGAGGATCTTGGAGTTAAGGCGATGCCATCAAGCTACATGTACAGAAAACATCTCTCCTCCTAATATGTCGCAGTGCTGTCTTTCAGAGCTTCTACCTGATGCAGGATTCATGTTCTGCCTCCCTGAAACTCCCCATCAACCCTGAGCTTGCTTTCCATGGGAGACAGGAGTGAGCAAGCTGGTCAGGGCTTCTGCCTCTGAGGCTTGAGTTATAGATGATCGTTATCACCATCACCACAGATAGTATCAGAGCTGAGCTGAGCAGCAGTGGAGAGATACTGGGATGTGCACTAGATTATGTGACTGGGGATGTGGAATGGAGGGAGGGCTGCTGTGACCTGCAGGACAGAGGCCAGATATATTTCAGGGGAAAGGACATTCCAAACCTGGGGATCAGTAAAGCTGAGGACTTGAAGTGAGGGTGGATTCAGCATCTTTGAGGGACAGATAGGCAAGGTCTTTGACTCATGGAGCCTAGTAGGGGCTGCAAGGTTGGGGTGGCCTGGTTCAAAATATGTTTCTCTTTCTCCTACCCAGCCCTCTTTGGTGCCCCAATGGGCATAATCAGAGAGAGACCTCCAGCTATCTGTTCCAACATCCCTTTCAGCCAGCTACAGGTGACCAAAGCTGGGCCTCAGCTGCCTCTTTCAGTGAAAGGCCCCATTGCATACTCAGGCAGGCACTGGCTGGAGCTCCCTGGCTCTGCATGGTGACCTGGAGACCAGGAGTGATGGGTATACCTGCCACTGGCCCACAGGATGTGTGTGGACCTTTTGCCCAACCAGTCCTGCGGGGCCCCACATGGGAGCTTCTACCTGTGAGGCAGGCCCTAGATGTCTGGTCCCTTCTCCAGGCTGGTAAATAGCACCCCAGACACTTCTCCTATGGGGCCCAATCTTCTTTGTGCCGGCGGGAGAACTGGCTGGGCTGGTGAAGACTGAGCAGGGCCTCAGCAGGGCTGGGCCTTGACGACCCCTGCACCCCCACCCGCTTTGGCCTGTGGTCAGCACCGCTTCCAGCACCAGTCCCCACCGCTCAGCTCCTGCTCCACACGTGGCCCTCTAGGTCACACACTCAGAGCTGTGTTAGTCATATGACAAACTGACATGGTTGCTTAGGAACAGGACTGTTCGGGGGTGCTCCTGGAAATAGTGCTGTGCAGTGTCCCTCTCTGAGCACCATGGAGGCGCCAGCCGCACAGACTGGGTACCTATTTGCTCAGCGATTAATCACCAGCATTTGCTCAGGTGGAAATGAAACAACTTCATTAAAAAGTCATTATCAAAGCAAACCAGCACAGTTCTTGCTCCTTTACTACTAATGACAAAACAATTTCTTTAAAAGGTACAAACAACAAACTTTCAATTTTACATTTTCCTCTCTGCCAGCTATTGCTAGCCTGGAAGTGTAATAGAAGAGCAGCCTAGTGAAAGGCAGCATTTTGAAGATTTATGGGTCAATAAAGGAGACAATTACAGCTTGTTTATGAAAGGAAATCCCCCTGCCCGCGCCTCGCATGATGTCGATGCTCTGGTAATGATAACTCTGGTAACCAGCTCCAAACCATAAAAGTCAATGGGAAGATATAGGATTTCAATAAAATTATGACACTCGATAAACCTTCCCATAGAAACAAATTTTCCATGTGTATATGACCAGTTCCAGTTGGATTTGTAACTTTAATTTCTCACTTATTGAATTTTTTGTCATCAACTAATTATGAAGTCCTTGCTGGGGCAATGACCGTGTCTGATCTCGTGAGCACTGAGAGCGCTAACTCTTGAGAGAGAACTCAGAACTCATGTCAGCCCCAGCATCTTTTTCAGATGAAAGGGCCTGGGCAGGGCTGGGGGCTGGGTAGTGTCTCGCCCTGGGTCCTTGGAAAACATCAGGAGAGACTGCGTGGTGGACGGGTACCAGATCCTGCCTGCAGGTGGCTCAGGTCTCAGGTCTCTTGCCAGGTGTCACCCCAAGGTTTTGCTCCTCAGCTCTGTTTTAGGTCTGTGAATTTGCTTTGGAACCAAGGTTGGTGAGTGTGTCCCTATAGCTCCCCTAGACACCTCAGCATTGGCTAGGAGGGAGCTGCCTGTCCAGTGCACAGAGCAGGGCAGTGCTAAGTGGACTGGTCATTCTCCAGCAGCTGTCCCAATGTCTGCTGGGATCTGTGAGTGTGTAGAGGCCACTTTGCCAAAATGGATAAAATGTTCTGCTGCCATTGTGGGTCTCATTACGGGTGGGTGGTATACTGGCTGTTGCATCTGGTGGAATTGATCGTTGCAGCTGTCCTTTGTAATGGGCTGACTATCCAGCTCAGGAGAAAGAGATGGCACACAGGCATCAGCTTATTGAATTTGAGGGGGCAGGGCTAGGCCTTAATCTGGGTCTTAGAAACCTTCTTCCTGGGCACTGAGTTCATGGGACCTGCCCTTTATCTTGCCACCCCGTGTATCCTCTGCACCAGCAGCATCAACATTTCTGAGTACCCACCCCAGGCCTGCTGAAACCCAACTGATATGTCATAAAACCCTCAAGATACGTACTGCATAGAAGGTTTGAGGAGTCGTGTCTTACAAGCTTTCTGGGCTTTCCCAAGACAACTTGACTTTCTCTGTGTAGCCTACTGTAAGTGTCTATGATGACAGCAGGTAGAAGTTTGTGGTAGGGGTATCAGCAGAGTGGCACTGGCTCTCAGCTGTGCCTCTGGCCCTCAGCTGTGCCTTGAGCTGTTGAGGATGAGGTCTCTTCACCAACCAAACTTGAGATCTAGAACCAAAAGAAACTAATCCTTTGCTTTCGGGGTTAGAGTTGGGAAGGAGAGATGGCAGCAGGCAGCCCACAGGTGACCAGGCATCGCTGTCCTGGATGTGCCCCCTTAACACAGGCCTGTCAGAGGAGCTCAGTTTCTGAATTCAGGCCCCTCTTGGCCTCCACTGACCTCCCTGCTGGCCTCTTGAGCATCTTAAGAGAAGCCTTCCATCTCTCCTAAGGCCCTGACTTCCTGGCTGTTGGCCTCATGAGCGTTCTGGCAGGAACACTGAGTGGCCACTTCTGCACAGCTCCAAGAGTTCCTCCTGAGGTCATTCCCTGCAACACAACTTCCTCTTTATGTGAACCCACCCTTTGCCTTAGAAAGTAAGGATTGCTGGCGGCCTGGTGCTTTGTGACAAGCCTGTGAGCTGGGGTGATGGCCTCAGACATCCGTGAGCTCCCTGAGGTGAGGACAGCCTGGTGGGATTCCAGGCTCTGTAGGGAACTCCAGGCAGATGTCAAAGCATTGGCTTCTCAGTATCCTGGGATGCCTGCTGCCTCCTTGCTTAAAGGCATCTCTCCTCACTTGCTGCATCTGCTGCTGGTAAATTGCTCTGAGCGATTTGCAGGGTCAAAGTCCAGGTCAGAAATCATGGGAGGGTGGAGATTCAGTCCAGCTCTGACTTACCACTGTATTTCCCTGGGTGTTTTATGGGCCTCAGAAAGTCACACTGGCCTGGGACATGGGCTGGAATGGTGCAGAAACCTTCTGCCTAGCTAAGGGATACAGTAGCTTCAGGAAGGGTACCCACACGCACACACTGCAAACCGTGCAGTCACTGTTGGCCTGTGGGTCTCTGAGCTCTGCAGGTCTGCACCCCACGGCAGCTTATACTGGGAAATCAGAATGAACTCCCCCAATCACTGGGAACAGGCCTTGCTTGGGCTGCTAGAAAGCCCTGTCGTGGCCTCCATGGACTCAGTCAGGCCACTGTGAATCCGTGGACTCAATCAGGCCACTGTGAATCTAAAATCCCTGCTGGGTGCTCAGCTCAAATTCTCTGAGAACCCATATGAAGGCCGGTCCCCCAAACTTGATCCTGATTCCTGCTCCTGTCTCTAATGTCCTGTCACGTGCTTCTCAGGTGGGTACCTCTCAGTGGTAGAACATTGCAGCATATGTGTTCCTTCAGCATCGCATTGCCACCCTTGCCTACCCAGGCCTGACCACGTTGCCCTCTGTGCCCACAGGAGCGGGATGGTATGCGCGCCATCCTGGGGTCCTATGACAGCGAGCTGACCCCAGCAGAATACTCACCCCAGCTGACTCGCCGCATGCGTGAGGCCGAGGACATGGTGCAGAAGGTGCACGCCCACAGCTCAGAGATGGAGGTGAGTGTGTGGGCCAGGGCTGTGATCTGCTGCTGCCGGTGCTGGCCCTGTGCTGCTGCGTGCGGACCCGCGCGCCTGCAAGGTTAACTCCAGCTGCACCGAGCATCAGCATCATAAATATAAGTGGATTAATAGCCATTTTATTATAACACATTTGGCTCCGTACGAAACATTAATGAAGAGCGATTTGCAGGGAAGACTCTGACACCTTCCGTCGTCCCCAGCATTTTTTACGTTGAGAGATCTCTCCTGTCTGCGTGCCATATGCACGCTAATCAGCTCATTACAAGGCTGGCAGTTTGGGCAACTCCAGTGCCATATGTTCTGGTGTTTTGTATGTCAGGGTGATGAGGAGCTGTTGGTGACCTCAAAACTCACGGACTAGTGTGTCACCCTGCTTTACCTAGCAGCAGTGCTGCACCTCCTGCCCACAGCCTCGAGACTTGCAGCGTGGCCCAGTCCTCCCCCGCAGGCTGTTTCTCCTCATTGCCCTGTCCTCCCCTGGAGGCCCACCTGCACGGGACAGCTCATCCCGGTGGGCCCACGACTGCCTTCTCACCTGTCCATGGTCAACAGGTAGCGGCTGTAAGTTGACTTTCCTGTCCACCTGTTGGAGTTAGAGGAGAGTAAAGAGAGGTGGGGGAACAGCACAGGCTCAGTGACTTCTGTCCTCTGTCATGATGGTTGCATGGCAGCCCACCACCCAGCCCCCTCTCCAGATGGGAGGCGTTGGCAGAGGAGGGCACGGGGCTGCTCTGTCAGTCCCGGCTTTCAGCACTGCCCACTTTTTCCTGGATATGTGTGCTCATGTGCCTTTCCAGGGCACACCAGCCCATTGCTGACTTCTTCCCCTCCTCTCAGACCCTAGATTTATATTTGATTGGAGACTCCCTTGAGCTCCTGTTCTGTACTCCCCTCCACCACACCCACCCCCCCACTTTGAGGCAACCCCAGGACCCAGCCTCTGTGCTCTGGATGCTGGCACTACTTTCCTCCCTGGGCGGCTGAAGTGGTCGGGAGCTGTGGCCTTTTCTTGCTTGTGGCCTGTGAAATGGGGTGGTTCTGGCTATCTGGACCTGTCCTGTGTGTTCTCCACAGCCCTGTTCTGCACAACAGACCCTCTCTACTTCCACAGAGCTCCCCTGGACCTGAGCTTCTGTTGGGGCTGAGGGTAGGGTCACTGATCAGAAGGGCTGGCTCTAGGGTGTTACTGAGCCAGGCCTGCCAGTCACTGTCCGCTGGCCTTTTTGGAGGCTTCGGATTCAGTTGAAGAGGGGCTGAGCGCCATCTAGTTTAGGAAATCAGCAACCTCTTCCCTTTGGGAAATAGGGGCTGAAATGGGGCACTCAGTGCCCTGGGGTCATGCCTGGGCTTCTGCCCAGTTCTGCCATGGGGGCCTGAGTCCACTCCCTGAAGAGAGTTGTATGTCTCCTGGCCTCCACCAGGTGGCAGCAGACAAACTGGCCTTGCTCCTGATGGATGGGGTAGGGACTGTGCCCAATAAGCCCCTGACCTCATGCTTGGTTCTTTCTCGTGGGTCTTTCTCAGACCCCCTCTTGTCTCCCTCACCATCTGCTCTTGGAACCCATGCTGGGAGAAGGCTGTCATCCCTCCCTCCCACTGCCCCCTAACCTCCTCATCCCCTACTGCCTCTATTGTCCACTGGCATGGTCTTCACCAGGCCCCTCTGTGAATGGGCTTTACTGTGGCACAGTCCTGCTCTGTACATGGCCTCTCCCCATGCAGCCCCAAAGGTCAGGGATATCAGTCTCAGCTGTGTGGGCTGCATTTCAGAGCGGAACCCCGGGCCCCTGCTGGCCCAGGATATGGGGGCATACCTTCTCTTTTAGCTACTGCTGCTTGGCCCTGTTAAGCTCAGCCAGGATCTGTGGCCTGTTCTACCTTCCTGCTCCCAGGGGGAGCCTTAGCTCTCCTGCAAGCAACCTTGGGGAAGGCCTATAGGAGCTTGGCAGGAGTAGACCTCTGTGCCATCCCAGAGAAGGAAACAGGCCAGGAAGCCCCCCAGCTTGACCTCACCCTCCAAGAGAGTGACTCAATGTTGAATATGCAGGCCTTCCTACTTCTGTTTTGTAAAGCAGTAGCATTTTGTATATTAGAAGCCCTGGAAACTACTTGGAGAGCAGCTTCATAAGCTGCTTCAAGCTGCCTGTCAAAAGTTTATTAGTTGAGCATCACATATTGACACACACTAGAAGTTACGTAACTTTATAGAGCTTGTTTGCTAATGGTTCCTTAGTGCCTCCCAGACAGCTCATCTGTCACTCGCCAAGATGCAAGCAGCGACTAGGGGGCTCGTGGTGGCTCACGATGAGCAGCCAAGAACTGCTCACTTAATGATGAGTTCCCAAAGTCACTCTTCCTGTTTGTTTGCCTTAAAGAGCCACAGAGCACTGTGCATGCTGGGAAGACACCCTGCAGCCCACCTGGTTGACTGTGTAGCCAGTGAGCTCTCAGATAACAGTGCTTCCCTCCCTGCTCAGTAGTGTATCTGGTCTGGAAGGAAGGCCAGGGGAGATGGGAGGGAGGAGCTGTCATTAGTGTGTTGGAATTCGGGGTGTGCCTGGTGGTTGTGAACATTTGCTTCCCTCTCTTCCTCTTTCCCTACCCCTACACATTTTCCTACTTTCATTTCCAGTCTTCCCTCCTCCTCTTCCTTGTTTTCCTTATGGCCTGTCTTTATGTCTTTGCTGTTTCTGTCTCACTCCCCTGCTCTCACTTACCTGTCTCTGTCCCTCTCTAACCTTTGACCCATCACTCCACTCTGTCCTCACCCCTAAGCTATTCTTTAAATTCAGGGATTTGCAGGCTTGCCTCTGAAGGGGCAGATAGTAAATCCTGTAGACAGTATGGCCACATTGACTCAGTCCACACCTCCTCAGCTCTGCAGCCATGGACACAGGAAAGTGTTGTTTGCAAAAGCAGATGGCAAGGCTGGGTTAGGTGAGGTTTCAGTGTTCAGACCCCTGTTCTAGCTCCTCTTCCCAGCACCCCTAGTAGGCCCACCTTGCTGCTGGGTGGAAAAGCTTCAGGCCTGCCCAGGCCTAGTCTTACCCTCAGAAGGGAGCCCCTGTGTCCTGCATGTGGCCACCATGTGGCAAGCAGCCTCTCTTCGTGCAGGAACTCTACTCTCTACTGGAGAGTACTCTCCCCTGGTCACTCGTTCACTGGTTGGGCGACGGTGGGGTGGGAGTGTGGAGCACACAGTGAGGACACAGGGAGTTTGAAAGAACTTCCCACTTCTTTCCAGAGCCCTTACATTTCACCCATTTAGCTTAATCAGTTGTTTCTAATGTGGAACACGTTTTGATTCTGGCAAAAAACATTTCAGTAAAATAAACTGTAAATGTTAAGATTGGGAGAATCCCAGTAGCCCTTCTCTGGTGAAGTCAGTACCATTTTGCTTGGATTTTATTTATTCCACTTAATAAAGCGGCTGCAGAAGTTGGTAGCATATGTCATGAATCCTCCTGTCGATGGAGCTATAAATATGCAGCACATGCCACCTTGATTCAACATATCAGCCTGATTTGTTTTTCCAATTTATTTAATTAAAACAGATTATGGTGCTGCTGGCTGCGTGGAGGTTTGTGGAAAATCCCGATTTCAGATTGCAGTGAATCCGAAATAATTTTTGGATTCCAGCTTAGGGAAAGATGGACGATCTAATGCTTCTTGTCCCTCTCTTCCCCCTGTGGCTTCTGAGGGGACACAGGCAATCTTTCATAGTGTCCTCTTCCTGTGTGGGTGACTTGGCTTCAGGAGGAGTGGCCTTGAATCCTGGGTGTCCATCAGTCAGTTTGGGATATTTTTTCTTACAAATATATCTGTTTTCTGTTTTGTGAACTCTTCTGTAGAAAGCCAGATAAAACAAAGTGAGAAGTCTTGAAACAGAGTTAAAAGATCAGCAGTGTGTTAGAGAAGAGTGGAAAAAAGGGCGGGGAGAGAATACCAGAAGCGTAGACACGGGGAGTCCCCTGTATCAGAGCGTAACGTCTGAGCTTGCAGGCGAGAGAGCAGAGGGGCTGAGGCAACTCACAGTTGGACAGCAGTGGGGGCCCAGCTCTGGAGCTCAGGGCTGACGGCCTTGAAAGGGGCCCTTCTGTGTGGTGCCACCTTTACTCCAGACAGAGGCGCCTTTCAGCAGACGACAGTGGTGTCTGTCGAGCTGTCTTACTGTGCCAACTCATATATTTTGTTTAATTCCCACAACATCACTGGGAGGTGTGAATTTCATTCCCATTTTATAGATGGTAAATGATGCCTCAAAGGTGAGGTAATTAAGCCTGTAGAGATACAGCCTACGGAAGTGTGATCGACAAACACAACACTGTATGCCTTTAAGGTACACAATGATGATTGATGATTGATGCAGGTATACATACTGAAATCATGATCACAATCCAGCTAATTAATCACCTCACATAGTTAACCTTCATTTTGATGAGAACACAAAACCTACTCTTAGCAGCTTTCAAATATAAAATACGTATTAACCACAGCCACCACGCTGTGCATTAGGCGTCCACGTTCTATTCACCTTGTTACTGGGAGCTTTGCCCTTGGACCAACATCTTGCCATTTCCACCGGCCCCCCAACCCCTTTGATAGCTACTGTTCTACTTTCTGATTCTGTGATTTTTCCTTCTTAGATTCCTGTAAGAAAAAGATAAAAACAAAGTGAAGAGTCTTGAAACAGAGTTGAGATCTAAGAGATTTAGAGCCCACATGTGACCATCTGTTACTTGTCTTTCTGTGTCTGGCTTATTTAAGGTAGCACGTCCTCCAGGTACATCCACACTGCCACAAACGACAGGGTCTGTTTTGTTAAGGCCCAGTCTTCATTGTGTCTGAATGTTTCCTTTATCAGTTCATCCACCCACAGACACTTAGGTTGTTTGCTTATCATGGCTAAAAAGAATAATGCGGCTTGAACAGGGGTGCTGCTATCTCCAAGTGTGATTTTCTTTCTTTTGGATTCC